TCAATTTGGAGTCTTAGCTATAATTACAGCCTGAGTGGTTCTATCCTGCGCTAAACAATTTTTGATACGTTGTACATTTGTTATACGGAGACAACACATATTATGCAGGTGTCCTCATAATGTATTTTTCGTGAAGCAAAGGTAAGAGAAGAAGCTGATGCATACCGCATACGTATTAACAACAAGACGTATATCCATCAGATCACAGAATAGATAAAATTTAATTTGATCTATTCTATGATCAGACTACAAGTTAAGTATTATAAGTAGTAAGTACCTACACTATCCGACTATCCAATATGCGGTAATATCTATTATCTATTATACAAACAACGAAAGAAAATATAAACATACTTACAAGTTACAATCAAAATGATACCTATCGTAATCCGTAATGACTTCCAAAGTTCCAGCAATTATCAGTCTTTATTCTTTAATCGAATATATTGGAATTCGATTCAAAGTAGAGGTGTACTGTGGACATAAATTATTCTATTATTAGCAAGACGACAACTTTCAATGTCCATATTTATTTTGGAAAATAAAATATTAATACCTATCAAACAACTATATTATTTTTTAATATTAAGTCCAATTATTTCTAATCTTTTTTCCAATAATTTGCTATTTCCTTGAATACTGATCAAATTTAATAATTATGAAAATCATATCTAATTATTTCCGTTGAAAATTATTAGCTATTTAAGTCTAAATATACTAATATAATAATCGCGAAACCGCAAGAGCAAGACTAATTTTGATCATTATAGCTTGATCAACTTGAACACAGATCAATCGATTTAATTTTTGTTTATAATTGGGTCCAAGATACAACTTCCCATAGAAGAATAGGTACAATAGTACCATATTATTTTTCACTTTCAAAGAATTCACTCATTTAACTTTAATATTGTCTCCGCGATAGAGAATTATTGTGCTTATTTTGTGACAGACTCACAGACTTTCCGGTTACCACGGTTGTAGGCATAAGTCGTACCAACCACGAACTTTCAGCCTAAGAACCTACACCCACGGGAGTTCAAACTTATTGTTTGAGGCCAGTGGTGCCGAACCTATACTGTAGGGGTGGCGGTCGCCATCCATTTTAAATGGGTGGGTGATAGGTCCTGTTATGCTGATGGGTAAATATCCAATAGCAAAAATTTGAAATAATTTTACAAATACTAAAATATTTTACATGACTGCTGTCTGATGATAGCGTTGAGGTATAGCCCCATATAGGTTCTGGGTGAGTGGGTACTTGGTTATTTTTCACTAGTTGCCCCCCCCCTCCCCCATTTTAAATTGAGTTCGGCGCCACTGATTGAGGCATTACTAAGGCTCTATATTTACCTAGTGTCCTAACATTACGAATTTGAAGTAATTGTATAAATACAGCTGTAAATATTGCAAAAGCCTAACGGCTAAACCTATGGAAAACTTCACACGGTAACCGAAAAGCCTCGCGTTAAAAATACGTAGCTGGTAGATCCAGGGTCGCCCGGAGGGAGGGGCCAGGTGGGGCCATTGCCCCCCTGAGATTTTTCGTGTCACTTACGAAATTGGAAGTTTTTTTTACATTAAGTTGATCTTGAGCGACTATTCGACAATCCTTGTATCCAACAAGTCATATAGGAGGTATTTAATCGCAATAAAAGACATTACGATTATTTTCAATACTTTTGGCTGGTTAGGCGTAATTGCCGAAATCTTGTATGAAAAACATTATATTATAATAATCAAATCAAAATACTTGGAAAGCAATAAAGCAAACGGGATTATAAATTATATCGTATAATGTACGACGTTTACGACAGAATTACAGATAATATAATATTAAAACCAATAAAACCGATTAGCGGTTTCTGTGATTGCGATATCGATATCTTACAAATTATAATTCCCAATATATGTTCACATTTCCTTTCGATAGCATTTTTCATAACTGACCGTACTGAAATGTCTGCCTTTTGTTTAAAATGTATTAAGTATTTTCTTTCTTATAAATATTAGAACTAATAGTGTAATTTTATATAAAGTTAAATTTGTTTTTATTTAAAAAAAATTTTGTTTGCCCCCCCCCCCTGAGCTGCATCTCTGCGGGCGTGCCTGGGTAGATTCATGGGTCGGACACGTCAAGTGTAGTTTTCATGTTACACATAAAACAGTTAGAAATATCCGAATACCGTAGTAGTTACCTTTTCTAGAGGATAATTAAAAAGACCGTGTTATCACATAGGTACCGAGGAACGAAAAAAAAGTTTATACAACTTTGTCTTCAATAATTTTTAAAAGCTATAGCCCAAAACATTAAGTTACAGCGATAATAATTTCTACATTATTTTTTTTTATTTAAATACATATTATTTTTTAATGTTATTCCCTAAAATTTATTAACATATTTTGTTTTGTCATTATTTTTTAAATACTTATTTTGTATTTCTTAGCTATTGAATTGTTACATAATTATTTACTATTGTCTGTATAAAAAACTTTTCCTACCATCCCACATACCAAGTATTTGGCTCTAGTATACGATCAAATTTAACTAAGAGAAAYTATATGCACCATTTGACATGATATTTAACTATATTGTCATTAATCTGAGAATTAAGCCGTTTACATCTCGATAGCTGATGCACAATGGTAGTTAAAGATTAATGTAATTATTTTTAAGATACTTGCCAAATAGCATCAGTTATACTATAATCAAATATAATATATATTTTATTTCAAAACTAATAAAATGTTAGGTCGCCGAACTTGTTTTTATATAATTTATTTAAAACGATGATAAATTCTTTTTCCTTTCATTAAATACATATCTTCTTTCAATTTACTGTAGAACAATTTTGAAGCAGAAATTGTTTTTACCATTGACACCAACAATAGACAATTCACTTCAACAATCTGTAAAGGAAGGTAGGAAATAAATAAAAAAACACAGTTTTTAATTTGGGTATGTGTTTTATTTGTTTTAATTTTGTGTTTCTTTTTTGTTTGTTTAAATTGTTTTTGTCAATCAAATTTTTATTGCTCAATTTTTTAATAGTTTTATTTTTAAAATATATTTTCATTTTTATTGCACGAACCTTTTCTTTGGTTATTTTTTTTCTTATTTTGAATAAAACATTGTATTTTTCAGATTCACATTATCTTTTATACATATTTGACATTGTTTAAAGCTATAAATAAACCTACATAAAAATATGTAGTACAATATTTACATAAAAACACAAGTTGTTTCAAATTTAGAAAAATAGTGAGTTAAAATAATTTAAAATTATCTAGATATAATAAAACTTATAGCTAGGCACATATGAACTTTCAAACCTTAAGATCTAATGTAATGGATATATTACTCTAAAATAGTACATTAAATATMAATTTAAAACATACAATGTATCTAAATAGAATAATATAAAATGAATAATTTCACAATTCATTGCAGTCATATGAAGTACACAATATTTTTTTTTTATTTCCAATTAGTTATTACAGGCTATAATTAAAATATTAAATCAATCCAATTTTTTAATCAATGATAAAAACATAAGCTAATACATTACATTACCAATAGCCCATTAAATTAAGGCCTATGAAATTAATGTTTAGATGTATGTACAAAAGAATTAATTTTTCATTTTAAAAAGCCTTTTGTTTTAACTTCTAATTTTTTAAATATTGATTACTCCCACCGATGAACTGTAGCGATGGATTTATAGTGAACGTCAGTAAGGATAATACATTGCTCTTCTGGAATAACCACCTCTGTAAACATATTTATATTAAATAACATTTCATATTTGGATGTGAATTTTTAAAATATATACCTTGGTCTACGCGTAGGTCTGTAACCACCATAAAATGATGACTGTGCACCACCACGTGACATAGGGCGACCTCGGAACATAGCTCTACCTCTAGACGCTACTGGACGATTTGTAGTGCTTATCCCAGGTTTATTAGTTCTTTTTGGATTAACCTATAAAAAGATTAAGCATTTAAGAAAATGATATCATTAAATTAAATTATGTATATCTTACTTTAATTTGACGACCTCTGAATAAAGAATCATCCATCGCCATGGCTGTGTTTACAGAATCCATGTCGGCAAATTCGATATATGCAAATCCTTTTGGATGACCATCAAATTTGTTACACAATATGGTGACCCGATTTATTGAGCCACAGCCATGGAAGTGAGTTTCCAATTCTTCTGCTGTTGCTGCATAGTCTACCTACAATTTTAAAAAGAAATACATTTTGGTATAAGACATTCAACAATAGTAACATTAAGGATATAAGATATACTTACATTACCAACATAAACAGATCTAGCATCAGCTTCAGCCTTTTCCTGTTCAGACAAATTATAAGTCGCACCTAAAAGACAAAATTAACCTTTAAATATAACCAATTTAAAAGATATATATATATATTATTTTATAATTAAATCTTATGATATTATCATGTTAAGTATAAATAATTATTTAGATCAAAATATTATATTACCATCATTCACTATGCAAAAAAAAAAAAAAAAATAGGTATCATTAATTTCTAACAATCATTTACTCTAAATTGTGTCATGTAGATTTAGTAAGTGATAGTTTTAACATTACTATTAGTATCACATGTGGAGATCTACTATATTCATGTTCCTCAAAGATGTAAAATAAAACTGCCAAAATGACTATTTTATAGAGCTTAAGAGGTTAATAAATATCTTTAACCTTTAATCTAATACATAGACTTATAATTTAAAATTAAAATTAAATACATTTATATTTAAGTAAGAACAGGTGAAACAATTTAATTATGCCAAAAATTTACATAGAAATGTAAATAAAGGATAATAATATTAATGCTGATTGACACGATTTCTAATTTATTAAATTTTTGTTTCTAGACATTTTAGGTGTAGGGTAGACTTAGTAAGTAATTGCTTAGAAATGATAACTTGCAACACATGTGGAGATCTACTTTAATTTATTTTCCTCAAAATAGTTATAATAAAATAGCTACATAACTACTTTAAAGAGCTTTTGAGGTTAATTATTAAATTAACTTATTATATAACTTTGCACCTACAATAAAATATTCTTGAAATACAACAATAAGGATTATTATCTACCTCTAGTTAAGTTTTAAAGTATTTATTTTTTTTTTAATATCACAAAATATAGAACATGATTATTCAACATATTTCTGGTAAAAAGCATATTTAGAATAAGATACTAGAAATATAAATCAGAAAGTGTACATTGATTCATATTATATCATAGGAACAAGACCATTAATTCATCATGTTAGTATTTAACAACATATTTAACTATTTTGAAAATTTTATCTTACATGGCCAAAATCAGTAAGTGTACATTGATTCATATTACATCATAGGAACAAGACCATTAATTCATCATGTTGGCATTACACAAAACTAATTAATATCCAAAGGTTATATTTATAACAATTTTGTATAAATAAGATCAAGTTCAGAGTATTAGTAGTAATCATAAATTATCATACGAACGAGACTAGAATTCATCATTAATTGATCATCAATAATTAATATAATTATATATATTACAATTTATAACCTGCATTTTTAAATACAAATATAAATGTTTGTCATTAAATGAAAAAAAAACAATG